AAAAAAAAAAAAAAAAAACCCATATGTCTTCTTTTTGTCTCCTGAGGTGAGCTTGGGTTTCAAGTTTTTTGTTTTTTGTTTTTTTTTTTTGCTTTTTTGTTTTTTGGGGTTTTGGTAATGGAAATTTAAGACTACAAGACAGTAAAATCATTCTCAGAAGCAGAGAAAACAAAAGCAGAAGCAAAATGCTGTGTAGCCGTGAGATTTTCAGTTTTTTGATTAGGAAAGATGTGAGGAAGATACTGAAACGCAAGGACAGTGATGCGGGCCAAAGAGGTAATCATCCCTATATGCAACCAGATTTTCAATATCTTCTCCTGCAATTTCTTCCTTTTCCCTGTTACAAAATTTCAAGATTTCATGATTTACCTTGTTCCATCACTGCAATTAGCTACTCACTCACTCCTTTTCTTATGGGGAAATCAAAGTTCGCTAATTTTTCAAATTCCATCCCCTTGTTTTAGATATTGTGTTGATTTTACTACCATTCACTTTTTTGGGGTATGGATTTAGGCCTTGCATGACCCTTCCTTCTCTTGAATTGTATGTTCTTAATCAGTGATTCTGAGTTTTATATAAATGTCTGTCTGCTTGCCTTTTCTTCGGCTCAGATCCAAGCATAATATGTTAGCAACTAGCAAAGGGCTACTCTCCCTCGGCTGGAGTTTCATTTCTGAGACTCAAGATTAAAACTTTCTGCATAATCATTATCAACCCAACTTGGATTTCAACACTAAGAAGCTTGAGTTTTGAGTGCCATCTTTACCCCTTCTGGGTTCTGTTTAGTGGAGCGGTTAAACTTTTTCCAGTAGAGTTAGGGTCTACCTTAAATTTTTCTTATCTAGTTTATCTATTTCAAACCAAGTATGAGTGCATGTGCATCTCTTGGATGCTGGAGGGAATAACATCTTTAAACATTCAGGAAGAGCTTTGGAAGATTTGCGAGCTTCAATATTTAACAAATTCCGTCCATCTGAAAGCGCAAAAACTCAACAGCAAAGAATTTGGGGTCCTGTTTCAGCTCTCACATTCAATTTTATGGTTGCTGTTGGTATTATTTTCATGAACAAATGGGTTCGTTCTTTGTACCATATTATGTATGTGCTACTACTGGCTTTACATTTGACAGCTCTCTAGTGGTAATTGCATAGCTTGTTCCTTCTGTTTGTGCAGGTTCTTAAAAATATTGGGTTCCAGTTCCCAGTATTTCTTACTTTTATTCACTATTTAGTAAGCTGGGCATTGATGGCTGTCTTGAAATCTTTTTCTCTCCTTCCTTCATCTCCTCCCTCTAAGTCAACCCCTTTGTCTCTGTTTACTCTTGGCTTTGTCATGTCTTTTTCTACTGGTCTTGCTAACGTCAGCTTGAAGTACAATAGGTAAATATATTTTAATTATATAGTTTATGAAATAGCAAGATCAATTCCATGATTAGCACTCTTTGAGTTTACTTATTTGTTCATTCATATTTCCAGTGTGGGGTTTTATCAGATGGCTAAAATTGCAGTGACGCCATCCATTGTCCTGGCAGAATTTATATGGTACAGAAAGAGAGTTAGTTTCTCCAAGGTAACTTCTTCCTTTCTAATGGAAATTGTATGTTCTCATATTACATTTGCAGTCCTGAGCTATATGGTATAAGAGAAGTATGAAAATTAAGATGTTATGGAATTTCATATAAATTTTCAGCTCTTGTTAACTGGATAAATAGTTAAGCAGTTAGACGAGTGGCATTTCAAGTGAATTGAAGACAGGGACACCTAGGTGGACAATTGAACATGAGTAGAAAGCCACAGAGAGCAAGTTTTCAACTTTTCTCCCAAAATAAAAATTCCATTGTTCGAACCCTATTCATTTTTACCCTCATTTTTTAAAAGCATTTTCTGATTTCTATCATCAAGCACACTCTAATTACCATTATCCATTTTTTGTGAAATGAAAACAGAGAATGCCATTGTAATGAGTTATTTTAGTAACATGCTCATGCATCATTTTCTTGGTGTGGTGGGTTGGGTTTCAATGTGGATATTGAGTCAATGATAAGTATCTTCTTCTGTATTTTTTTTCATTTTTTTCTTTTTAAGAACAATGTTGACAAAATTGAATCTTAATGCTTCTTGGTTTCTCTGTGTTTGTCATTGCTAAAATTTCCAGGTGATTGCACTAACAGTTGTATCTATTGGTATTGCTGTCGCTACGGTGACTGATTTACAATTCAGTCTCTTTGGTGCTTGTGTAGCATTGGCGTGGATAATACCCAGTGCAGTGAATAAAATACTATGGTCCAATATGCAACAAAAGGAGAACTGGACAGCATTAGCGTATGTTACATGCCCTTTTCAATGCACTTATAGTTCTTTTTTCTCTGCTTCCTGTTCATCATCATCAAAATGATTGTTAATCTCGATACTTTTACTGAAACATTTGAAAATTGTTCCTTGCTGCTGTGAATTTGTTGAACAGATTAATGTGGAAGACAACACCAATTACTTTGCTTTTTCTAGTTTCCATGATTCCTTTCTTAGATCCTCCCGGTGTCCTTGCCTTCAATTGGAACTTAAGTAATACATCAGCAATTCTCATGTCTGCTATACTTGGCTTCTTGCTTCAATGGTCGGGTGCTTTGGCACTTGGGTAAGCTTCTCTTGTCCTTTTAATTGTTCAACCATTCCAGTTGCTTGAAGTTCTTCTAGAGATAGTGTCTCAAATATGTTATTTCATCTTTGTTTTATAGGGTTTCTTTATGCTCTCTCTCTCTCTCACACACACACACTCATATTTGTTTTATAGGGTATCTTTATATGTATATATATATGTGTTTCCTGGATTTAATTAGTTAAATAGGGCTGTTCTTGCAATGGAACAGTACTATCATTTCCAGGTATTATTACTCTACGAATTGTAATAATTCTTGTCCTCATAAAGTGTATTCACTTTTTTTTTTGTTCTTTTGCCTTTTGTTCTCTGTGTTGTTAGGGCTACATCGGCAATATCTCATGTAGTTCTTGGACAGTTCAAAACTTGTGTTCTGCTTCTTGGAAGTTACTACCTGTTTGGTTCAAATCCAGGGACCACAAGTATTCTTGGAGCGTTTGTAGCTATTGGTGGGATGTCCTTTTATACATACCTGAACATAAGGACTGCAAAGCCAAAGCAGCATTCTGGGAAAACCTCATCAGTGAAATCAAAATTGAGTGAAGAAAACAGAGAGAACCATAATGGCTATGGTGGGGAGAGTGTTTAAACTGAAACATTGAGGTACTTGGCAGCATTAACTGAAGCTTTTGTTTTCAGATTTTTAGGCTGTTAACATTTTAGTTTGCATGGAGAACCTTAGAATGCTTTTAATGGGTTTTCATGTCCCTTTTTAAACCTGTAGATATAGCCAAGTGCCTTATTGAGTGCTGTACTAATAATACCTTTGTGAATCAAGCATGGCATGTACAGAAACCATTTTCCTGATTCTTCTTCGAGGATTATTTTATATAGTAGCTCATTCATTTTTTTTTCCATTCATATGCATAGATGACAATGTTCAGGACTCCTTTCTCTTTTTTCTTGGTACTTTATGAAATTCCTATTTTGAACTCCCCCATCCAAAAAAAAAAAAAAAAAAAAGGTGAGACTCAGGCCAAGCATCTGTCACTTCTGACCAAGCAGAGATGCACAGGAAAGTTTTTATGAGAGAGAAAAAAAAAATCTTAATCCATTCAGTTTTACCATTAATTTATCTTTTCGAAGCTCTTCTTTTGTTGTTTCTCTCAACAGTAACAGCACAAACTTTCGCCCTAATATTATTATTTAGTGAAACGTGAATTGTAGTTTTTAAATTATTTTTTAAACTTATTTTTTTGAACAAGTTGTCAAGAATGGGCTCGAAACTCGTTCATGAAAGAAGGAATGTATTTTAAGTTGATTGGTTGTCAATTGATTTGAAAGGTCATATGTATTTTTTAAACTTATTTTAGTTTTGAATTATAAAAAATATATATTTTTTTAGTTACTTTGTTAATTAATTTATTAAGTTTATTTTTAAAAGTTGAAGAAATAAATTTGGCATTTATAACAGACCATTTTACAAAAGTAAAAGTTTTCCAGATGGTCCGATGGCATCTAGACGTATTCTTTTGAAAATATCACCCGACATGAAGCAAATCAACATGTCTTTTCTACTCCCAACTTTTCAATGAAGCTGACATGCTGGTCAAGAGTAATGATAGGCAGGGCGACACCCCCACCAGATGAAATTAAGGTACGACAAGTATTAAGGGATTTATGTATGTAGTGTAATTATTAATTTAACTCTTACAATACTTATTGTCCTTCAATTTCGTCCCCCGACACTGTCCCGCCTATCATTACTCGTTGGTCAAAGGCCACAAGATATGAATAGGAATGAAACCCACAGCAGATAACCATCAAGGATCCAAATATAGTAGCAACAATAGCATACAAGTTTGTGCCACATAAATAATTAAATATAAACTGCGATTCGCAACAGTTCTTGTAAGAAACAATCTGCGGGACTGAGATCAACTGAGTGATATCGAAATTGGCTGTAAGCATGGAATTCATCAATCAACGCTGAGAAGACCCCCAGATCGTAAAAACCGTATCCCATAAACCATTGCAATATGACAGCAGCAAACAAGGCAATCAGTTCCCAACCGTGTTTCACATGGCGTCGCACTGGTTCGCTGGGCGTGAGGTGTGATACCATAACAACGTAGGCAAAGGCAAGAGCAGCAATAAAGTTAAGTATCATCCCATACAAAATAAAAATGGAAGAAAGTAGAGCGCTGACAAATAATCTCTCAGCCATGGTACTTTTATTGATTCATTTATCGATATTTCGACGAGAATCATGATGGCAACAAATAATCTCTTAATTTTTAGTTAAGGTATTAAAAATATGTATATTTAAATAAATTTAATGAATTAATTGATAAAATAATTAAAAAAATACATTTTTCTTAGGTAAAGGACTAAAAAAAATATACAAAAAAAAATTAAGGAATGAAAATTATAAAAAACTTTAAAATTAAGAGATCAAGATTAACATTTAACTTTTAATCTAATACCTATGCTATAATACATTAGATTTTTTTTACATTGAAGAGTTAAATATTTGGCATATGAGTTTTTAATCTTTACTCTAAATTAAGAATTTTAAATTAATGGATACAAATCCACTCAAACTCTTATTAGTTTAATATTACAATACATTAGTGAAGTAACACTCCATTTACTAACATTATTAACTACACTGCAGCATGGTGAATAAAATGTGTCGCCACTTCCTTAACTCTATATATAAACCATTGGGATGACCTTATTGCAACACACTAATATGTCAATGTCACACCTTTTTACTTGACTTGTATATGGTTTTTTTTTTTTTTTGATCAAGGGCAATTTTGGAAGTAAAGAGGTATTGAACCCAGCCCCATGAGTTAGATGATACACACTATTATTAAGCAACCTATAAGGTCAGGTGTGTCTTGACTTGTATATGGTTATTACTTACATTAAAGTTATTTTCCTATGAAGGGACACAGATTCCCTTTCAAGCTTTCCAATTAAGCAGCTAAACGGAATTCCTATGCAACCTTGCCTTAAATTAAATACAATATACCTTTACCAGATTAAACAATCTATGTAATCCCATATTTTTAAAAAAAATAAAAATAAAAATTTAAGCAACGTAATCAAGCATGAACCATAGAGACTAACCATATCATCACAAACTAATCTACCCTCCAAAAATGTCCAATTTTGAATTTACACCTACCAAATTATGTTGTAAAAAAAATTGCTACTTGTTTGGAACAAAGGGCACTGCTATTTTTGGGACAGATTTCTACCTTTTAAACATGTGTGTTGGCCTTCTTGCAATCTCATTATTTAAATTTAAACAATAACAAGTGTAGAAACCAACCGAATGACTATATCACCATATGGGGTGTTCTACATTTAAGATCCTTCGTAAGTTGCCTCAAAATGTAGAAGAATAAAAGTTATTCCTCACGCAACATTGTGGAACCACAATGCTGGACGGTATAAAGTGTCTCAAGAACAATTTATTGTTCACTCACGCCAAAACAAAGAAATTTTTAAATAGGATGAGAAATTTAGGACGAAATCAGCGATAGAGGCTTTCAGATCTGAGGTTCTCTGCAATCTCAGTTTCCCAACGGTCTCCATTCTCGAGCAGCTTCTCTTTGTCATACAGCAGCTCCTGCAATTATGTTTGGAAGATTGATATAAAAATCACTTCATTTATCAGTGGATTAGTTATCAATCACTTGAAGGAGTGATTATTAACCTCATGAGTCTCCGTTGCAAATTCAAAGTTAGGTCCTTCAACAATTGCATCAACAGGACATGCCTCTTGGCAGAATCCACAGTAGATACACTTAGTCATGTCAATATCATACCTGCAAAATTATACAATTAAGATACAAAGGAGGAGGAGGAGACGAGGAGGGCCATACAAAGAGACATCCTTCACCTGGTAGTCCTACGACTTCCGTCTTCTCGCTCCTCAGCCTCTATTGTGATAGCTTGTGCTGGGCATATCTGATGACCAACCATCACTCAATAAAATTACCATCACAAACAATTAAGAAAAGCAATATTTAATACAATACAGATGCCTAATCGCAGTATCCAGGGCAACACTTCAAATGATTTCTCACATCCTGCTATCATGGTCTATGAGAGGATTAAGGATCAGGTTAAAACATACAAGTTAAATGCCACTCATCAACCCAGATCTGTGCAGAATATTCATGCAGTCCATTATGCATTGGGATGAGGTTAAGAAGGCACTATAATAAACATTAGGAGGCAGGTGGAGTAGGAAATTTTGCAATCACGCCTACTCATATCTGGATTTTAGTAAATAGTATTTATACTTCACCTCCCCAAAAAAATCTTTACACTTCACTCATCAGATTAATTATAGGAACTGAATAAGACAACCTTCTCCCCACAATTGAATCTTCATTGTTCTTGAGGCCTAATGTTACGTGATATGGACATCTATCTACCCAAGTACTAAATAGGGAAACAGAAAAAAAGGGTCTCTTACTAAAATTTGAACTTACAGCTTCACAAAGTTTACAGGCAATGCAACGTTCCTCCCCAGTTGGATATCGTCGCAGAGCGTGTTCCCCACGAAAACGAGGGCTCAAAGGGCCCTTTTCAAACGGATAGTTAATCTGAATAATAGGAAACAGGTTTGCATTATACACTTGACATCCCAAGCAATCAAAGCCAAAGAATGGAAACAGAAAGACACTTACAGTAACTTTTCTATCAAAGAAGTACTTGAGAGTTAACATGAGACCCCTAACCATTTCAGTGAGAAATAATGTGTTTATGCTTCGCTCAAAAACTGGAATTGTACAAAACATCAGGAATATTCATTGAATGCTATAGAAAAGAAAAGAAAAATAGCAAAGAAATTCCAGCAAACCACATTACCAGAACTCCAGTCCTTTGATATCTCCTTTGCTAGTTGCTCTCTTTCTTCATCATCTGCAGTTTGCAGACAAGAAAATGCACACAAGTCATATATCTAACACAACTACAAACTTGCAGCCTTGCAAATAATGATGTCCCATAAACATGCCAGTAATACACTTGAAACAAAAATGTTAAATTCGAGGGGTTTCATAGAGATAGAGGTGGTAATAAAACAAAATTTTTTTTAAAAAAATTATTTATTCTCCTGACAGAGTCATCTAAAATCCATATTGTCATACTTAATTTAACAAGACCATTGTTTCGAAACTGCTAAATAACAGCATAACAGCTCACCTATATCATCCAACTAGTGGAGTGACATATGCTCGGATTGATATTTTCAAATATATGAGACAAAATTATAAATGAAGGGCTGAAGGCAAAATTTACCTTTCTTAGTGGAATATGGGTGTGCACTGGATTGCAAGCTATAGTGCCAGGAACCCTGTGCTGTCCGCCCTGTTACAGCCTACAAATTGGTAAATAAAAATGTTAGTTTTTTTTTTTTTTCCCATAAAAATGAACAGAAATACACAAATGATAACAAAATATCAGCGATGCTAAAAGTAAGTGGTGATTATAGAACAAGATCAATCTGGTCTAATTTGATAGATAAAAAA